TAATGTGATCTTCTCCTGAGAAGAGCTGCCAAATAACAAACTTAACCAATGATGGAAATATTTGGAATAAATTACCTGTGGATGGTATATGATTGGGGCTAGTTCTGAGTCACGTCTTTATCAAAAAAGACCAGGCGCTCTCTTAGTCAAACATGGAGAAGCTGATGTTGGAGGAAAAAAGGTCAGGCAGAATCTTTTGCCTCCAGTTTTTTCTGTGCACCATTAATTAAACAAGAGTATTTCCTCCCAAGGGCCACACAAAGACAGTGTTACTGGGACGATAATGGGAGGCATTTCTTTTCCTGGGAACAGCTTTCACATTTGTTTTCCTGCTACACTGGATTTCAGTATGACTCACTAGACTGTTTTACACACAAAGATCTCAAAGCACTTTACGCAGGCATGTTCAAGGTCATAAAGTGAGCTAGCAGCAGAAGTGGGACTACAATTTACATCTCCTGACACTTAGGCTCCATGTTTTCTATGCTTGATATCAGCCAATGTACGCTGGATGGACATGAAGGCAGGAGGGTCCAAGAGCCCCAAGGACAAGCTAATATTCACTAGAGCTGTGCGAAATTTCACCACAATTGTTTCGACACTATTTTGACCTGTTTTGAGGTCAAAACAGCGAAATCGGAATGAAACAGTTATGGTCAAAACAGCCTCGAAACGAAACAAGGCAAGTCAAAACATTTCGCCGTTTCAACGCTGTTTCAATGTTTTGCCCATAGGCTATAATAGGGAAGGTAATAAAGCCTATAACTGTTATTTCTGACCAGATTTGGATAAAACTTGTAAAATTGGTAGCCTCTTCTGAGGGCATAAAGCTTGCCAAGTTTCAAGGAGATAAGTGCAGGGGGTTTAGAGAAATTGCAACCCAAAATCTTGAGAGCCAAACTTGTCCCATGCGTTAAGCCACAGCAGGGTCAAAACTACAGGAATCCCAGCCCCTGCAGAGGCCACAGAGCCTGCAAGGTTTCAAGGAGATAGGTACAGGGGGTTCGGAGAAACCGCACCCCAAAATCCTGAAAGCTAAACTCATGTCACGTGTGTGTGTTAAGCTACAGCGGGGTCAAAACTGCAGGAAGGCTAGCCCCTGCTGAGGCCACAAAGCCTGCCAAGTTTTAAGGAGCTAGGTGCAGGGGTTTGGGGAAACTGTACCCCAAAATCTTGAAAGTAAAACTCACGTCACGTGTATGTCTTAAGCCACGACAGGATCAAAACTGCAGGGGTGGTGGCCCCTGCTGAGGCCACAAAGCCTGTCATGTTTCAAGGAGATCAGTGCAGAGGTTTGGGGAAACTGCACCTGAAGCTGCTGACTTAAGCCACGACAGGATCAAAACTGCAGGGGTGGTGGCCCCTGCTGAGGCCACAAAGCCTGTCATGTTTCAAGGAGATCAGTGCAGAGGTTTGGGGAAACTGCACCTGAAGCTGCTGACAGGCAAAACTTGTGACATGTGTGACAAGGTGCAGCAGGGTGAAAGGTGCAGGGATGGTGGCTCCTGCTGCAGCCACGACACCTGCCAGCTGTCGAGGAGATCGGTGCAAGGCTTCTGGGTTCTGGTGTCCTGCACCCCTAGCTGCTGACAAACAAAACTTGTGACACCGGTGCTTGTGGGACTGACTGTGTCTGTCTGGGGCAGTTGATTGTCTGTACTGATTCTTTCCTCTCCTTAGTCTGTGCTTTTGTAGGTGTTAAGCCGTGCTCGTTAAGTCATTATGTAGTAGCTAGTTACTGTGTACTGAGCTGTTCCCTGAGTGAATCACAATTGATTGGTAACTGGTAACACAGTAGCTGAGCAACCAGGCCTGCAGTAGTTCCCCGCCCTGCCCCACCAAGTGTCCCAAGACAGACACAGTTGCACAAGCACCCATGTCACGAGTTTTGCTTGTCTGCAGCTGGTAGGCTAGCATGCCTACAGTTTTGACCCCACTGTGTATTCGCACATACATGTGACACAAGTTTTTCTTTCAGGATTTAAAGTTTTATCCAAATCTGGCCAGAAATGTCAAAGTTATAGCCTGTTTCGACCTTCCCCGTTATATCCTATGGGCAAAACATCGAAACAGGGTTGAAATGTCAAAACGTTTTGATGGAACGAAATGGAACAGCCGTTTCGACTCAAAACAAAAGTTGAAATGAAACACAGTTGTGTCGAAACGTAGAAACGCTGGTCGAAACGAAACGCTTCCATTTTGCACACCCCTAATATTCACCATATTTTAGTTTAAACATGCACTTTATTCTAAAATATACATTTTTCTTGAAGTTGCTGCTTGTCTTAGTTTCTCTAGACACGCTGACTTAATGGCAAAAAAAATAGGAAGTAGAACTGAATTGTTACCTAGTCCAAGTGTGGTGTTGAGGGTGTAGGAAGAAAAGCAAGGGAGGGGGCTGCCAAGGTTGACAAGAGAGATTTCAGTAGCATACCTAGGGCAGGGTCACGGGGCACCCATCCTGGGGGCTGACTGTGAACGGGAGCCAGGATACCACCTACACCAGAAGTCTTTGTGGCACCAGGGTGGCCATAGGAGCCAAGCAGGACAGTACCACACAAAACAATGTATCTGGGGGGTGGGAAGTGAACGGGGGTAAGCAGAATGATGCTCTCCCTGCACCTGGGAGCCAATGCCAAAGCAGGCACAGCCCTGCTCCCAATATGTATGAATGGGGCGGGGGAAAGCGAACGGGACATCAGGATCCACTCTGAAGAACCCCGGGCACAAGAGAGCTGACACTGCTGATGCTATGAAGCGGCGGTAGCAGCAGTCCAGAAGATGAGATTTCCTGCCCCTCACCCGTGCTGCTGAGAGAACTCTGACATAAAAATTAAACCAATGAAGGATCCAGAAAAGTCCATTTGCTCCTTAACAGTCAATGTACATCAGCAGTATAGTTTTAGAAAACCGGTGGTAGGTATTCCATGGCCCAGGGACTGCAGCAGCTTTGTTATAATGCAGGACAAAATACAACAGAAATAAGAGAGACCATTGGGCCAAATTCTCCTCTCGCTCCCTCAGTGCATATCCAACATCACTGCACCATCAGCCACTTGGCTTCAGCGTGGCAGACCTGGAGATCTACTGCCACTTTGAGGCTGCAGGACTTGAAGGAAGATGAATGTAATCACCTGCAGGGGCAGACTCAGCTTTGGTGAAGTTGCCCCAGAATCTCTCGAGCAGGGCTTCCCAAACGTTTCCTCAGCTTGACCCCATTTATGACCCCATTTCTTCAGCATGGCCCCTCACCCCCTACCAGAAGCCCCCCACAGCCCCAGGTGCCCCTCACTCCCCACCCAAAGCTCCCTGGCCCTGCCAGTGCCTCTGACTCCCCACCCACAGCCCCCCACCCTGCCAGGTGCCCTAGGACCAGGGCCAACAGGCCCCTGCCCCTCCACCAGCAGCACCCGAGCCCCAGCTGCCACCCATGGGAGGCGTTAGCTGCTGCGGCCAGAGGGGAGGCAAGAGCCCGGGCTTCCCATCCCAGCCCCTTCCCTTGTAGGCAGCATTGCCGGAGTGGAGTCCATGTTGGGAGGATACAGGCTACTCAGTAAAGGATTGGGAGGCCCCACTCTACTGCCCATCGCAGGGGGCTCCACGTCCCAGTGGGTAAGACACAGCACAGGAAGGAGGGTGCACCACCATGGCTGCCAAGTGAGGTGTCCCCTGCTCACCTGGCAGCAGCATGGGCACAACTCTGCACTGCTGCCCCTGCCATGCCTCACCTTGGCAGACATGGTGGTGCCACACTCCCTCCACACTGGGTCCTGCCCGCTGGGCTGCAGAGGCAGCTACTGCCCAGAGCTGGTCCAACCTGGCTGCAGTCCCACATCCCACAACCTGCTGCGGGTGCAGAAATCTCAGGGGGCACATTTATCATTATCCCATCTGCTGACACGCCATTTGGGGTCACAACCTACTGTTTGGGAATGCTAAAACCAGTGATAATGTTGGTTTAACATCTCACCCATAAGCTGCATCTCACATGTTGCAGTGCCTCCGATTGCCATGTGATATCACTGATTTGCTACTGAGTTTGGGGCACACAGAGAAGTATCTATTACTGTATTATCAGCACCAATCTCTGCAGCCTGCCGCTGCTGCCAGGGTTTACCTGGAAAAGTTTCCCATCCTTCTGCTGACCTTGCTCAGCCCTGCCTAACTGATCGGTGTAACATCACACCCATAAGCTGCATCTCACATGTTGCAGTGCCTCTGATTGCCATGTGAGATCACTGATTTGCTACTGAGTTCGGGACATGCAGAGAAGTATCTATTACTATATTATCAGCACCAATCTCTGCAGCCTGCCGCTGCTGCCAGGGTTTACCTGGAAAAGTTTCCCATCCTTCTGCTGACCTTGCTCAGCCCTGCCTAACTGATAAAGTCCGACTCAAGCGCAGTCTGCCATGACAGCCCTGCAGACCGTTGAAATAGCAGCCCATATTTTCTTAATCAGAGTGCACAGACTACAAAGGAGTATTGAAAACATAACTGTTTCTCTTTCAACCTTCCTCCATCCGAGAGACAGTGTTTTGAACAGGCTCAGCAATGGGTAACGAGAACAAAGTCTGTATTCAGCAGGGTAAATTACAGCAGGGTAAATTCCTGGGTCAGAAAGATTTTAGAGATCAGCTCAGTGGGGACCAGTAGCTAATCTGAAGCCCATTTTACACCTCCTTGCTGGACACGGGTAAATTAACCTCTACTCTTTGAAATGTTCATTGCCTCCAATGCTCTGCTGTCTTATTAAGAGTACAAATGATGACTTCATGTTATTGTTTTTTTCCCAGGCAGGTCCTGGCGCACAGTTCTTTGTGAAGTATCAAATAAGAGAGAGCACTTGTGCCATTGGGGAAGGCAAAGCCTGGCAAGACTGTGATTACAACGCATCTGTGGAAGCTGTAAGTGGCTGCCCTCTTCTTTCAAAATTCTCTTTCTGAAAATAGCAATGTAATCCACCAGTTACCAGTCTCCTGGGGAAAGTGTGCAGTTCTGCTTGGAAAAGGGACTGTGCCAATGGCATTGTGGGGTTGTGTCTCAATAGGCTGGCAGAAAAGATGTGCTCATTCAAGTAAAAAATAGAAAGATGAAGCCGGGTTCCCTCACACTTATTCCTACCTGCCAGCCCTACAAACCCAACTTAGTGTGTGGGGCTAAAGACAGACATTCAAAAAGCCTGAGCCTGAATTGATTCAATCTTTGCAGGTTAGTCTAATGTGGATAGGCTAAATCAGTTTTGTAACCAGACAGACATCCAAGAAATGCAGGCACATGTCTGCAGTGGCTCAGGCTAGAACTGGGGGGTGCTAGAGCAGCTCCCTCCTTTCCTTCTACAGTGCTGAGCTGAGGGGGGCATGGCCATACCCAGGCAGGATGGTCTAATTAGGGAGGATTCTCCGCTTTCCTGAATGGCCCAGCAGGGGATGTTTATCACCCCTAAGTCTGTGATTATCACCCCATTAAGAAAACAACAGAGGGACATTACTAAATATCTGTTAATTCTGCCTTTGTCCGAGGTGCCACAGCTCGGAGGTAATCAGCATGTGGGCTGCTAGCTAATGCTGAGAGGTATCTGGGAGGGACGGGTGAATGCCTGCTTAGCAGCGAGTGGAGAGGAGTGTGGGGAGCAGAAGCCAGGCAGATGTCTGCAGAGACTACTGAAGCTGCAGCCAGGAAACAGAGGGGAGGGGCCAACCCTGTTGTGCAGCAGAGATCCCCACCCAGAGCAGAGAGCATGCCGGGATGCTGGTGGTATCTGGTTTATCTCAAACCAGCAAGGGGTCTGGAACAAACATTGCATAAACCGGTATGACCTAAATCAGTTAAGTCTGATACTCCATTCAACCAGGTTTAACTCAAACTGGTTTCAGCCATTCTCAAACTGGTTTATGTACACTGAACACCTGTTCTGTTACAAGTTTAAACCCGTTTCTGATCACTTAAACCTGTTTATGTGTAATGTCAGTCCCTAGCCTGGAAGTCAAGTCATGAGCTCTCTCTTTACATGCCATTACTGATAGAAAAAAGATTCAGCAGGCTGAGTTCTGCCCTCTGTGAAATCTGTACAACCTGTGTTGCCTTCAGTGAGATTGCACAGATGGAAATGCTTGGCATTAAGTGAATGTTTCTGTTTGTGGTGCCTGAGAAGGAACAGAAGCTGACTTATTCTCTTAGTGGAGTTGTCTTTGGAGGTCTGACAGGAGTAAAACGTAATCTAAAAGTGTTTTCATTGCCAAGCTCAAAGGATGCCTTCAAGGGCCAGACCTGCTGAGTAAGGCTGTGCGAAATTTCTCCGGCCATTTAATCTCGACACTGTTTCGACTCATTTTGAGGTTGAAACAGCAAAATCAAAATGAAACAAAGGGTTTCGAAACAGCCTCAAAACAAAATGAGGCTAGTCAAAACATTTCTAAAGTCAAAACCTTTCAACCATAGCACTGGGATGGGAAGTCAGTCCAGCTGGGCTAACTTCCCCTCTCCGGCCCGATCTAGTGCCTGGGACGGGAAGTCAGCCCAGCTGGGCTGACTTCCCGTCCCAGGCACTAGATCGGGCCGGAGAGGGGAAGTTAGCCCAGTTGGACTGACTTCCCATCCCCGGTGCTAGATCAGGGAGTACTTTTTTTTAACTGAAAATTGGGGATATTTTTAAATCAGAGAAAACCAGGATCCCTTCTTATGAGAGCAAATTGACTCCTGTACCAGTAAAAACCACCCTGGGTAGAAGAGGGGCAGAATATTCACCAGGAGGGCCTGGTGGCAGTACAAAGAATCTCAACCTTCCCTCCAGTGGAGACTTGCAGCCAGCCCGTCCCAGGGACAGGCTGTAAATAGGGAAGCCATAGGATTCAGTACACCTCAGTACCTGTTTGATTCATATTTAGCCCCTCCTCCAAGAACCTCAGGTCCCACCTGAATCACCGTGACGTGCTGTGAGCCCAGCTGCCCCATGAGACCCAGATTCTGTGCTAGCAGGGGGCGGCTTTAGCCCCTGTTTACGTTTGCAAATGAGGCATCCTTTATTTATTGAAATGTGTTCCCTGCATGCATTCCAGGTGCATTAGCTAATTAAGAAAGACAGTTTCAATATAATAGTAGAGATTCCAACATTTGTTAATCATAAAACAAAAGATACCTTTCATACTACCTGCTTAGCCCAGCTCCCGCTTTCCTGTGATCAGCCAACCCACCCCTTCCACAGCAAAACCTTGGACTAATTTAGACAGTAAAATTGAAACTCCTTCATGAACAACTATGATTGCTCATGTCAGCCTGTATTGCTCTTATCCGCTAAGCACAGGTTATGCTTGCCAACTGTATTCTGTTTCAACAAAATACCTCAGGAATATTTCCCAGCAGTATATGTGGTGCTAACTGGATTTCTGCATCAGGTACATTAAAACCAAATGGTGTCATCTGTGTTTGCAGGAAACAGGAGAATGTACAGCTGAAGTTTACATTGACAAGACCCAGAAAATCAGTAATGTTTCACAGGAATGTAAAATCATCCCAGGTATGTTATGGTCCAGGGGGACTTTAGATAAGCAAAGAGTAAAACAAATAAAAAAAGAAAAGAGATGGCAAGAGAACCTATATTGAGATTTTTTGGTAATTTTAAAGGAAGGAGCATTGCATCATTCCATTGAGAACCTCTTAAATCATTTATCATGGGCCACCATATATTAAAAATTAAATTCTGCTCTTCCTTCTTATTCATGTATTTGTTGTGTCAATGGTACACCAGCAGATTATTAGTAAAAATTGGCTTTGTGTAAAGAAACCCAAAGCATCTGACTAAAGTATCTCTGAAACCCTTAGCTCTCTACCAAATCAAAAAGGATTTTCACTGGCCTAAAGGCACATCTATGACCTAGGGATTGGCTTCCCTGTTGTCAAATTTTAAGTTTATTCACAAGTACTGAAATGACAAGAATCTTTGTTGTATGATGACATTGTAGTTTCTCATTGTCTTCCAGTTCATAAAGGGCTGTGCTCATTTTACTGAAACTTGTCCCAAAAAAGAGGCTTCACAGAGAAAAAAAATGAAAAAATGTATCCTCCAGCATAAATGCCTGACAATGGTGGAATCATCAAAAGATGGTGATATCATCTGAAAAAGGCCTTTTCAAAGGGCCTTGACTAGTCCACTTGATTGGCATTACACTGACTGCTTATAATCTACACATCCAGATGGATATCCATGGAATGCCTCTGGAATACATGCCCTTATTGGAAAAGAGTTACCAGGCTCGAATGCATCAGAGCTGGGGTTCTTTCTTTAAGTATCCAGAGGGATGTTCACACTGCAGTCATGGCAGTGATTGAAGCTAATAAACTTTAGGGACTGCTACCAATACAGCTGCAGCAGCACAGAGCTCATAGTAGGCTACCCAGCCAAGTACATACGAGTTTTGCAGCTTACCCTGAGCCCCATGTTCCTGTGGCTATATTACTAGGAATACCCAAGCCAGCTAGTTTAAAGCTAGCTTCAGTGTGTGCAGTGATTGCAGGATAGACAATCTCCAGGTTTTACTGCCAACTAAATCCTATTTGATTTCAGATGCATTTGCAGGGCAATGGTGACATCTAGGTGCCAGTAAAGTTAATGAGAAGTATGTGTATTCCATAATGAGAGGTAGGTGTGTTCCACAGAGGAGTCAAGTGAAGTATGCATTTGAGTCTCCACTTGGAAAAATAAAAATATAAATTTGAATTCAATATCTCAGCCAGGTAGCATGGGAAGCAGAGCTCTTTTACCAACCTGAGGAAAAAATGTACAAGTTTGTTCACAGCTCATGAAAAGAAATAAATCCATAGCCTCTTTAGAACAGGATGCATGCTGTGTCTTGCTCTGTCTGCTTTCTGACTGCTCACTGAAAATAGGATCGTGGCTTTTTGTAATGGATATAACTGCTTTGCCATGCCACTGGCAGGCAAGAATCTGAAGGGTCAGATTCTGCTCCGCTACTCTGATGTGAATCAGGAGTACCTACAACATGTACATGCTGGAGATAATCTGCATTGGCATTGAGAGCAGAATCTCATCCAGAGATTCCTGTGGAAAGAGGTCAATAGCAATGGGTTCTGCCTGGTGAATGATTTCACAGCTCAGTCTCTCATATGTGAGCACCACATTGTTCAGCCATTAATACTGGAACAGTTCTACCGTGTCCTTAAATTGTTCCACTGTAGCCAGTTTACATCAGGTGAGGATCAGGCCCACAAACACTACCTGAATTCCATCTAATACTCACTTTGATTTGCAAATTCACTGAATTATGAAATTAATTTATGCATTGAACTATGAAATTAATGCATGAAAATCCAGCCCATCATTATCAGGCAGGAAAGAGGGGTAATAGGATTAGTGGTAGGGAACACAGTCTAGAGCCTCCTCCATCTAGGTTGCTTAGTCAAAACCAGCCCAATTTGATGGTGCTTGAAAGTTGATTTTGCTGAAAACTGATAAACGCTTGGCTGCCTGTGTGAAAGTTAGAGGCAGTTCACACAATCTGTCTCCTGGGCAGCTAAACATAAACCTATACGGGAGCTCTGCATCATGGTGGCCCACCAGAAAAGCTGCCAGTTGAAATGTTAATGTTTGGTGGAGTGTATAAGATCTCCATAGATTATCCTCTAAAACCAGACCTCAGGGAAATTTCACTTTATTGCAACTCTAGCTGTGGTACCCAATGGCTTTTGCCATTCTCTTATCCACTGCTGATAAATGACATCCTTTCTCACACATCTTCAGAGCTATGTGTTATATTTTCTTGTTAAAATAGAGAACAGCCTAAAACTAAATCTTAGATTCCCAGACTCCAGAAATGTATGTGGCTCCAGATCTGGATCGCAATTTTGCTGTACTGAACCACAAGTTTGGGTTTTAGCAAATATAATGAACTTAGATCTAGGCTGTAAGCACTTGCAGTCTGGATCTGTATTTTGCTGTCCATTTGAGGGAGTGAAGATTCTTACTCCTTAAATCAAGGGAGATTTTGATAACCATCTTCAGCTATAAAAGGGTTGGTATAAACAGGGGAGTAAAACCTATTTTTTGTATCCTCTGGGGGGCAGGAAAAGTAATAATGGGCAAGATGGGAGTTTTAGGTTGTACGGTCGGAAGAACTTTCTAACCGTGAGGATGCTTAAATACTGAAATAAATTACCTAGAGAGGTTGTGGAATCTCCATCCTTGGGAGCTGTTAAGGGCAGTTTAGACAGATATTTGGCTGGGATAGTTTAGACACAGGCCTGGAGCAAAGCATTGGACTAGGTGGTCTCATGTGGGCCCTTCCAGTTCTCTCTGGTTCTAAGAGCTCATTTGTGCCTAGTAAGTAAGAAGCAAGGGGGTTTGGTGCTATCTTTTATTGGGCCAACTGAGCGAGATATTAGACATGCTTTCAGGACAAAGTGCTATTTTCCAGGTCCAGACTTCAGAAAGAGCACTTTGTGCCCAAAAGCTTGTCTAACATCTCTCCCAACCGTGCGGCTGATCCAACAAAATATATAACCAAAGAACCCTTTCTCCTGACATGTATCATTCACTATCTGGGATACAACTCTTCAGAACTACCCCAGTAAGTGAAGCTGTTTCATTGAGCAAAACCCATGATTTTTTTGGTTGATTTGTTTTCCAGCTGCAGGAAAAGTGACTC